GGGGGGGGGGGGGGGTGGATGCCACATTGGAGTAAAAACACGTTCGATGCCGATCAGCAGTAAGTAACCCTCGTAAAAGCCAATGGGACACCCCCGGTAGGAATTGACGATAGAAAAAGGACTCATCAAACCCTGGAACAAGGCTTGGAAATGCTCAACCAAGGCTGGAGCTCAGCCTCGGATGAGCCCTCCTTCAGCCCCACAATGATAACATAAGGCTGGAACAATGCTTGGCGCCAAGGCTTGGTCCGAGCCTTGAATTACAAAATTCTAAAGGCTCAATCGCACTTCTTTAAAAAAAATCATATTAATGTTTGCGGATATGTGTTCAAATAATTTCTTATTACTTCATAACCCCTTTTATGAATCCAGAGAAACTTACGAAAAAGACTGGCGGGAGTATGGACAGTTCCTCGTGTAAAAAAATTTTTTTATTTCTGCATCGTGCACTCGGGGGAAAAATTCGATTTTGGCGAAAGTCGACTTTCCCCTGAAAAATCCAAGATTACACTTCGGCCCCAGGTGAAAAAAAAATTTTATTTCAACATTGACTTCTACCGTTTAACCGCTTTGCTATTGAATTAAATTAACGTCAATTAAATTGAATTAAATATAGCTTTTCTATAAATTCAGGAGCATGACAAGGCATTCAAATTCGAGCCTTAGCAGCTCTTGGCATTAGCCGGAATCCCCGACGCGGACGTGGTTGGCATAAAATCCCAAAAATCCTCAAATTAAACTTTAATATTGAGGGAGGGTATTGTAAACAAAAACGTTATTCTGAGGGTACTTTGTCAATGTTGATTTGATTCCTCTGCAGGCGTGTTTTTCGAAGAGGTGGATAAAAATATCGAAGTGTTTTTCATACAAAAATGAAACGCGAAGTCGAACTGATTGAGTTATCCGAGGTGAAAAGGGATTTTTTTTTCACTTTTTACCTTCGAGAGACATTTTATCAGCTCCCAGGAGTAGATCGGATTTCCCATTTCACGTCGGTTCCAGGGGCTTCGATGCAAAATGCTATTACATCTGTGGAGGATGATGAAAAATTTCACATAACGGCTGCTCATTTTATAACGTCACTCTCGATGCGAGGGAAGTGAGGATAAATGATGGTTGAGTGATGAGAGGGCGAGGTGCAATGCTCTATCATTGTTGTAATTATTTCAATGACTTGGCTTTCCGGATTAATTCATTGCGGAAATAAAAAAAAAAATTTCTTTCATTTTTATTATTTATTTTTTCAATGAAACTTTACAGTTTCCTTAAAAATTTAGGAAAAATTAATGGAAAAATAAATGGAAATCATTGAATTGAATTTTTTTATTCATAATTGAAATGAAATGAGCCCAAATTTTTGTAAAAAAAAAATCTTCCACTCGATCAGATGATTGGACAAAGTGCGAAAAAGGATTTTCATTCGAATCAGCATGTCTCATGGCGATACTTTTGACTCTTGCCCTGAGTTCGTGCACTTTTATAACGAGATTTTGCCCCTTACAAAGCCCTCCAGAAGCCCAGAAAGATGTATAAAAAAGGAACGTAAATAAATGTGGAAAAAAAATCATCTCAGAGGGAAAAAAGTGGATGCTGAGGATAACAATGGTCAGCACTGTAGTCTCGTGGGATTTTCGTTCACCTGGGGGATGTGAAAGGGCGCGTGAACCTTGTGACTTTATGGCAGAATGGCTACATTATAACGTGGACAGGATAACGAGGGAACGTGCTCAATGCGTTCCAAGTTTCCCAGTGTTTCACACTTCGGGCATATTGGGGATCACGTCTCTGAGGTTATAAGTCTATTGCAGGGAACTTTAAGCTCCAGTTACTGCAGGGAAAAGCGCCTCAGCACTCGTTGTTCACAGCCCCTTTTTTTACCCAGGGTTTTTTATGGGGGAAAATTCTGTTTTTTTTTTTTGGTTCACATTTTTTTCCCTTCAGTTGTGATCCTGCTCTTTGGGGATTTTTGTGACCCCGTTGGATTGAATTACGAATAATTGTGGATGGTGAATTTTGTGATGCAACGGGGGACTGGTGGTAATTGGGAGTTTGCGTTGTCAAAGGGATGTTGATCCGGATTAATTAAACAAGTGCGATTGATTTTTTTTCCAACGGTTGATAATTAGGAACGGAAATGATAATTTTATCTCCGGGCTTTATGTTTGTACGGGAAATGTTTATATTATTTTTTTTTTGTGAATTTTGTGAAAAAATTTTAATAAAAAAGAAGAGGGGAAATTTGTTGTTCGTCAGCTTTATAGTTTCCCTGAAAATGTAA